TCAGATTTCAAAGCTAGGAATAGGATCAAAGAGCATGTGGTACAGGTAAAAGAGAACCCTAAGTCCAATGCTTTGGGAGGCTGAGGCGGGTGGATCACCTGAGGTGAAGAGTTCGAGACCAGCCTGGCCAACATGGCAAAACCCTGTCTCTATTAAAAATACAAAAATTAGCCGGTGTGGGGGTGTGGTGCCTATAATCCTAGCTACTCAGGAGGCTGAGGCAGGAGAATCACTTGAACCCAAGAGACAGAGGTTGCAGTGAGCTGAGATCCTGCCACTGCACTCCAGCCTGGGTGACAGGGTGAGACTCCAGGTACTGTTCTAAGCATCCTGTGTAGCTCAGCTTATTTCTTCCTAACCCAGTGATATGAGGTGAGGTGCGTATAGTATTCCCTCAAAATAGATGAGGAAACTGAGGTTTGGTGACATTACATAATTTGCCTGAGATTACATAGTAAATGTCAGAAAAAAGTGGTTTTGAGGCTACAGTCTAGAATTTATGTCTCTTGAAATAGGAATGTCTAATGATTGTGCCACTGCACTTCAGCCTGGGCGACAGAGCAAGACCCTATCTCAAAAACTAAAAAACAGGAATGCCTAAAACCACCAGAATGGTCCTAGGGAGCAAACAAGATTTTCCAAACTGGACCTTGAGTGCTATGGGGTCGCTGGCTCTGCATTTGCCACGACAGCCTGTGGATCTGTCATCTTCCCTGGAATATAATAAGAAAAAAAAGGCCGGGCGTGGTGGTTCACGCCTGTAACCCCAGCACAGTGGGAGGCTGAGGTGGGCAAATCACTCGAGGTCAGGAATTGAAGACCAGCCTGGCCAACATGGTGAAACCCCGTCTCTACTAAAAATACAAAAATTAGCTGGGCGAGCTGGCGGACACCTGTAATCCCGGCTACTCAGGAGGCTGAGGCAGGAGAATGGCGTAAACCCGGGAGGCAGAGCTTGCAGTGAGCTGAGATCCGGCTGGGCGAAAGAGTGAGACTCCATCTCAAAAAAAAAAAAAGAAGAATTGGTATCTGAACTGGTTTGGTTGGCAACCAGCAAAAACAATCTTTACACGTTTGTTTTAGCTGAAGCCTAGAATTAGATTGTCTTGATATTAACCAAAACAAATATCTAAGAGTGTTTCCATCAATCCAGAAAATTAGTAAAATATTCCCTAGTGTGGTCTCCCACGTGTCCTGCCATGCCTTCCCTGACAAAAGTTTGGGTTGTACCCTCTTTCCAAGTTCTTTCCTCTCCCTCCTCATCTCTGACACTTTACTGGTCTGAAAAAAAGCAAAACAAAAAACGCCGGGCATGGTGGCTTATGCCTGTAATCCCAGCACTTTGGGAGGCCGAGGCGGGTGGATCACCTGAGTTCGGGAGTTCGAGACCAGCCTGACCAACATGGAGAAACCCTGTCTCTACTAAAAATACAAAATTAGCCGGGCATGGTGGCACATGCCTGTAATCCCAGCTACTAGGGAGGCTGAGGCAGGAGATTCGCTTGAACCTGGGAGGTGGAGGTTGTGGTGAGCCGAGATCCGTGCCATTGCACTCCAGCCTGGGCAACAAGAGCAAAACTCTGTCTCAAAACAAAACAAAAATAGGTTGGTAAATAGTGATCTAATATGCAAATAGAGGAATACATCTAAATACTAACATTATCAATGTTAGTAAGACAGTTTGGTTAACGTTAATCCAAAGGAAAATTTAAACTCCAGAACATTTAATCAAAATATAAGTGGAGTAAAATGCGTCATATACCTTTTTATGAAGAAAGGTAATATATTTCATATTAATAAAAATAAAATGCATTTCAAATGAAATGCCATTTAAATTTGCTATTTTTTTTTATGATCAGATTTCAAAGCTAGGAATAGGATCAAAGAGCATGTGGTACAGGTAAAAGAGAACCCTAAGTCCAATGCTTTGGGAGGCTGAGGCGGGTGGATCACCTGAGGTGAAGAGTTCGAGACCAGCCTGGCCAACATGGCAAAACCCTGTCTCTATTAAAAATACAAAAATTAGCCGGTGTGGGGGTGTGGTGCCTATAATCCTAGCTACTCAGGAGGCTGAGGCAGGAGAATCACTTGAACCCAAGAGACAGAGGTTGCAGTGAGCTGAGATCCTGCCACTGCACTCCAGCCTGGGTGACAGGGTGAGACTCCAGGTACTGTTCTAAGCATCCTGTGTAGCTCAGCTTATTTCTTCCTAACCCAGTGATATGAGGTGAGGTGCGTATAGTATTCCCTCAAAATAGATGAGGAAACTGAGGTTTGGTGACATTACATAATTTGCCTGAGATTACATAGTAAATGTCAGAAAAAAGTGGTTTTGAGGCTACAGTCTAGAATTTATGTCTCTTGAAATAGGAATGTCTAATGATTGTGCCACTGCACTTCAGCCTGGGCGACAGAGCAAGACCCTATCTCAAAAACTAAAAAACAGGAATGCCTAAAACCACCAGAATGGTCCTAGGGAGCAAACAAGATTTTCCAAACTGGACCTTGAGTGCTATGGGGTCGCTGGCTCTGCATTTGCCACGACAGCCTGTGGATCTGTCATCTTCCCTGGAATATAATAAGAAAAAAAAGGCCGGGCGTGGTGGTTCACGCCTGTAACCCCAGCACAGTGGGAGGCTGAGGTGGGCAAATCACTCGAGGTCAGGAATTGAAGACCAGCCTGGCCAACATGGTGAAACCCCGTCTCTACTAAAAATACAAAAATTAGCTGGGCGAGCTGGCGGACACCTGTAATCCCGGCTACTCAGGAGGCTGAGGCAGGAGAATCGCTTGAACCCGGGAGGGGGAGGTTGCAGTCAGCTGAGACTGCGCCATTGAACTCCAGCCTGGGCAACAAGAGCAAAACTCTGTCTCCGAAAAAAAAATAATAAAATAAAATAAAATAAAATATCAGTACTCTTTTCACCTAGTCATCCCAAACCGACCTCTTCAATCCCATATTACCCTCTACTATCATGGTAACCTCACCTTTGGTGACAGACTAGCTGTGTGACCCCAGGCAAATGACTTATCTCAGTGCCACCACCTGTTGGAAGGGGCTGGTAATAGCATCTGCTTCATACAAACGTGTTTTCAGGATCGATCTGCATATAAGCGCTCAACACACGGTAACTGGTTGTCAGATTCAATCCCAGGACGCTTCCATTTAACGATCTCACGGCCCGGAGGACCTGGGCCGCCTCACAACTGGGCAGCTCCGCTCACCGACACAAAGCTCACAGCCGCGCCCAATAGGGAATCGGCCCTGCGGCCCTCCTGCCACTCGCCCCCAACTATCAAAGTCCACGGCAGAGCTGGAGGCAGACCCCGCCCTTGCTGGGCTGGGCAAGAGACTGAAACTTAGAGAATGCACTGCAGGCGCCGCACGTCTCGGGCAGGTTTAAAATCCGATCTAAAATCGGAAGCAGGTGCTGGGAACCCGGCCCCAAGCGCTCCGGTGGGACGTCCAGCCGCAGAAGAGAGCCCAAAGCCCAGCAGGGGGTTTCCGAGGGACTCGGGGTTTCAGAATCGCCCGGCTCTTGGGCCTCGCCCAGGGCGCTCGCGCAGTCGCGAGGCCGCGCCGCGGACTGCATCTCCCAGCAGGCCCCGCGCTGCAGGCCACGCGGCGCCACTAACTGGGCGGGCGGCTACCTACCTAGCCTCCCCGAGATGCCGAGGAGGCCGCAGGGGCGAGTGGGACCATCTTTAGCCAGCCCAGAGTAGCCGAGGCGGGTGGGGCCTGGCTTGGGGAAGGATTCATCGGGGGAAGCTTATTAACAATTCAGACTTCCAGGCCTCGCCCCGACACGGACGCACTGGAGAGCGCGTGGCCCTGGGATCTGCGTTTTCCCAAGCCCTCCGGAGTAATTCTAACCCAGGTTGCCCGCCAGTCACAACCGCCTTGGGCTTGTTTTCTTCGCTTGGATCCAGCGGCCCTGCCCCCAGCCACTCCCAGAATCTCAGGACGCGCCCCGTGGCCCCGCTTCTCGTCTCCAATTGGTCCCTCGCTCGTCCCGCCCCCGCAGGCAAATCTTCCCTTCTCATTGGTAGGTGGTGAGTGTGTGGCGAACCCTGACCCAATGGGCGCTATAGTTCGCAAAACGTGACCCGGAAGTTGGTCACGAGCAGGCGCCGTGGGCTTGTGGACTCCTAACTCCCGCGCTGAGACTTCCGGCGTGGGCGCAGAGGTCTGAGTCCTGCGTGGGTACTCTGTAGGGTGAGAAGCACGGCGCTCGGTTCCTGTCTGGGAGAATTCCTGGCACGGACTGGCTACGTGGCCGGCGTGGCGGCGCCTGGGACCTACTGAGGCCTAGGCGCCGGAGCCGTCCGCGCCTGGGCTGGAGCGGGGCTCCTTGGCGTGAACTGGGAGCCTCCGGCCCTGGGCTGCAGCCGGCGCCGTCTATCCTTACACGGGTTCAGGGCGCCTTCGTAGGCGGGCACGGCTGGTTTCGGGCTAAGGCGCTCTGGAGACCCGACGATGGCGTCGGGCTCGAGCCCCCAGGAACGGGAAGGGCTCCTGATAGTGAAGCTGGAGGAGGACTGCGCCTGGAGCCAGGAGCTGCCCCCGCCTGACCCACGGCCGAGCCCCGAGGCCTCCCACTTGCGCTTCAGACGGTTCCGCTTCCAAGAGGCAGCTGGTCCTCGCGAAGCCCTCAGCCGGCTCCAAGAGCTTTGCCATGGGTGGCTTCGGCCTGAGATGCGCACGAAAGAGCAGATCTTGGAGCTGCTGGTGCTGGAGCAGTTCCTGACCATCCTGCCCCAGGAGATCCAGAGCAGGGTGCAGGAGCTGCATCCGGAGAGCGGCGAAGAAGCGGTGAGCCTTGTGGAGGATATGCAGAGAGAGCTTGGGAGACTGAGGCAACAGGTGAGAGAGAGAGCGAGCTGTTTTATCTGTGGTTTGTTTAGCCCCGAGGACTGGGACATTGCGCCCCCGGTCGAATTCAAGTAAATTGCCCTGAGTAGACCTTACATGGGGAAGAACACTCATTCTCCAGATTTTCCCCAAATGAACAGAAAGCAGTGAAGAGTGCCCTGTTTCCACGCGGAGGCAGTGTCTCTGGAACAGTTAGTGTTAGCCGTGGAGTTAGATCGCCAGCATTCAAATCCTCAATCTACTAGTACTAGCTTTGTTACTTTGCCAAGTTACTTGATGTCTTTCGGCCTGTTTTCCTATTCGTAAAATGAGAATATTAACATACTTTATAGGGCTTACAGGGAGAGCAGCGTGTAAAGTTGTGATAACACTACTAGCTTATAATGAGTGCTTAGTACTTGTTAGCTGTTGTTATATTAGGGTCTACGGTCTGGTCTTCTGCAAAGCTGGGCCTCTGTTAATTGTGAACTTTGAAAGATAATTTGGCACCGAGGCCCTGAGGTCATTGGCCCTCAGGGCTACCCCAATTTAGCTTATCCTATAGTGAGGAATAGAAGCACCTAGGAAAGGTGGGGAGAGCAAAAGGGAGTGAGGTGTGTCTTAAGAGCTGTGTGGGGAAGGTGTGCTCTGGGAGTGGGCCCTTTCCCTAACCCCTCGCCCTGCACAGGGGATCAAAAAAGCCTTTAGTGTAAACCATTTTTCTGTTGCCTGGGCCCTATGGGATGGCCTGAGGTTCTCTGTTGAAGGCTTGCTCTCAGTATCCTATACTAATTTCCCTTCCCTTTGGGCCCTGTTGTGATGATGAGTGATGTGGGTTGGTTCCCAGGTCACAAACCATGGGCGGGGAACAGAAGTGCTTTTGGAGGAGCCTTTACCTCTGGAAACAGCACGAGAGTCACCGAGCTTCAAGCTGGAGCCAATGGAGACTGAGCGAAGCCCTGGCCCCAGGCTGCAGGAGCTGCTAGGCCCCAGCCCCCAAAGGGACCCCCAGGCTGTAAAGGAGAGGGGTGAGGCACAGTTATCTGGGCAGGTGGGAGGGAGGAGGGGCTTGGGGGTTGCCCCCGACAGAAGCAGGATGTCGCACTCGTGCGAAGAAGGAATTGCTGAAGTTAAGGTTCACACATGTGGAATGAAAGACCTGCAGTTGGTGGTGTGGGTTCTCCTGGGGCTGGGGGAAGGGAAGGGAGTCTCAGTGGAGCCCTTTTTTATGTAGAACAGAGGCGATTTAGAACCACTTGAATGGTGAGGGGTTTGGAGTGCTACTCTTGGTATTCCTTCCCTCTAACCCTGTCATTTTGGATATCAGTTTATTAGGCCTTTGGGCAGTTTAGTGTCATCCCCAAAAGCAGATACTGGGTGTTGGGGAATGGATACTGTGTTTTAATAATCCTTGGGTTGCCAAGAGTTAGGAATGCCATTCTCATTATAATTTCTGTCGCCTTCAGCATTATCTGCTCCCTGGCTTTCTCTTTTTCCTCCTGAAGGGAACATGGAAGACAAGGAGATGACTGGGCCCCAGGTGATGTGGAAGTTTCCATTGTCTTCCCCCAGCACCCTTCCTCTGCTGAGTGTTGGGGGTGGGGGTGGGTTCTCCACGTGGAAGGTCCTTTCTCCCTTACCACAGCGTCTCCCCCACTGCTTTTGTCTCTTTCATACCTCACTTGTAGACCTGACACCCTTCTTCCCCTATGACGTGTGCTTGGCATCCCTGGATTTTGCCCCTTTAACCCATGATTCTGCTTGAATTGTTCTTGGTGCATCAGGGGCTAAAGGAGATCTTGTGCTGTTTCAGTTGCCTGAGAGCTTAGAGGACGTGGCAATGTACATCTCCCAGGAGGAGTGGGGGCATCAGGATCCTAGTAAGAGGGCCCTCTCCAGGGACACGGTGCAGGAGAGTTATGAGAATGTGGACTCACTGGGTAAGGACTTCTTTTCCAGGGATGATGACTGCGCCATTTCTGACCAGGGTTCTGCCCCTTATTCATTCACCTCCTGGACACAGACTCTGAGTTTTGCCAAGAAGCCTCCACAGGAGACTTCCCTTTGTCTAAAGTTCCCTGTATGAGAGTCATGTATCTGCCAAGTGGCACAGTTGGCACAGGCAGCCCTGGACTGGAATCCCAGCTGCCAGAGCCTAAGGCGAGTCTGAGCCATATGGACTTCCCAGGGCAGAGCAAATCCAATGCAGTGACAACCTGCCAGCGTCACACACATGCAGTGTCCCAGGATGCTGGGGGGCTCTAAATGGTTAATTCCTTGCAATTTTGAGATGCTTATTCTTCTGAGCTTGCCAGTGTTTCCTGTGCTCCGTTACTGTTTCTGGGCTCATCCCCAAAGACAAAAATTTCAGGGGTAGTGGGATCAACATTCCAGCCTATCATCTCTCACAGACCATAAAAATTCAGAAAGCGGGGAGGGTCTTGTGGAAATTTGGAAACAATGTATAGCTCTAAATCATAAATTAGGATGCACCTATGTCTTGTACTGTTACTCAGAGTTTTAAAATTATGCCTGCGGAATATGACACACTGACATATGGTTGGATTTAGGTGGAGGATATGCTGGTATGTATTATACAATTCCCTCAACTTTTCTGTATGTATGAGAAATTCTTTTAATGAAAAGTTGGGGGAAGTCTTAAGACTGTGTGTACATTATGATTATACCTATGTTGAAACACACCAGTAGAAAGACTCACTGCAGGCTGGGCATGGTGGTGCCTGTAATCCCAGCACTTAGGGAGGCTGTGATGGAAGGAGTGCTTGATCCCAGGAGTTCAAGACCAGTCTGGGCAATATAGGGAGACCCTGTATCTTTAAAAAAAAAAAAAAAAAAAAGTATCCTGGTGTGGTAGTGTGTACTTTTGTAGTCCCAGTTACTCAGGAGGCTGAGGGGAAAATCACCTGAGCCCGGTAGGTCAAGACTGCAGTGAACTATGATGATGCCACTGCACCTCAGCCTAGGTGACAGTGAGACTCTGTTTCAAAACAAACAAAAAAGACACACTGCACATTGTTTCCATATATCAGGTTTGCCTAAAAAGTATCATGATTATACATTTGTTGACACTAATTCTGCAAACGCAGTCTCCAGTCTCGGCTCACCATAACCTCTGCCTCCCAGGTTCAAGTGATTCTCCTGCCTCAGCCTCCCAAGTAGCTGGGATTACAGGCATGCGCCACCATGCCTGGCTAATTTTTTGTATTTTTAGTAGAGGCGGTTTCTCCATGTTGGTCAGGCTGGTCTTGAACTCCTGATCTCAGGTGTAATCTTGAGCTCACTTGTCCCACCCTAGTCTCACCCAGTCTCCGGCCTTTTATTTTCTTTTTTTTTTTTTTTTTTTTTGAATGTTGGGTCTCCTTCTGTTGCCCAGGCTCCTCTCGAACTTCTGGGCTCAAGCAATCTTCCTGGCTCAGCCTGTGTGCCATTGTACCAGTTTCCATATTACTTTTCACTGCTGTGATGTCCAAAGTTGAACATGGCCCTTTTAGTGAGAGATTGCTAAATAGCAAAAGATCAGATTACAGCTTGTTGGAATTAAACTTCTGTTGGAGTCCATGTTTGCTGGAGGTGGAGGTTTTTGTTTTTCTTTTTGGCACAGCACAGAAATGGCACTTGTGGGTTTTAATCTCATGGTCCTCTTAGAGCCCTGGGTCCTTTTCTGATTGTCTATTATGTTATATTTTCTTTCACTGGAGTTGCCCAGTCAAATTAGTTCTATTTTGTATTTATATGTAGAGACAAGGTTCTTTTATGATATTAAATAGATTATTCAAGGAACTGACCATGTTCATTTTATAGTTGTTTTAATTACAGTAGTGTACATTCTCATTGCAAAAAAAACATTCCAGCCGGGCGCGGTGGCTCACGCCTGTAATCCCAGCACTTTGGGAGACCGAGGTGGGCGGATCACTAGGTCAGGAGATCGAGACCATCCTGGCTAACACGGTGAAACCCTGTCTCTACTAAAAATACAAAAAATTAGCTGGACGTGATGGCAGGCGCCTGTAGTCCCAGCTAGTCGGGAGACTGAGGCAGGAGAATGGCGTGAACCCAGAGGGCAGAGCTTGCAGTGAGCCAAGATCGTGCCACTGCACTCCAGCCTGGGTGACAGAGCGAGACTCCGTCTCAAAAAAAAAAAAAAAATTTGGCTGGGCTCGGTGGCTCACGCCTGTAATCTCAGCATTTTGGGAGGCCGAGGCGGGCAGATCACTTGAAGTCAGCAGTTCGAGACCAGCCTGGCCAACATGGTGAAACTCCGTCTCTACTAAAAATACAAAAATTAGCCGTGTGTGGTGGTGCACGCCTGTAATCCCAGCTACTTGGGAGGCTGAGGCAGAAGAATTGCTTGAACCTGGGAGGCAGAGGTTGCAGTGAGCCGAGATGATGCCACTGCACTCCCGCTTGGGCGACAGAGTGAGACTCTGTCTCAATAAAAATTGTCTCCCTCCCCTAATTTCTTTTTCTAGAGGTATCCACTGGGGACAGTTTGTGTATATTCCGAGTAACTGCTGTCAGATTTATGGAGCATTCTGTATCTATCCACTGAGGGCGGGAAACAAGACTATCTTTGTTTCCCTACTCTGGTAGAGGAAAGTGGCAATACAGAAATCTGTTTCTTTCATTGTGAACAGAGTCTCACATTCCCAGTCAGGAGGTCCCAGGCACCCAGGTGGGACAAGGAGGAAAGCTATGGGATCCCAGTGTCCAGAGCTGCAAGGAAGACCTGAGCCCCAGAGGCCCAGCTCCAGGTAAGGAATGAAGACGAGTGGCCTGCCCAGCAAGCAGGAAGGTTCTCGCAGTTAAGAGTGAGGCATGATTTTGTTTTGTTTTCTTTTGAGATGGAGTTTCATTTTTGTTGCCCAGGCTGGAGTGCAGTGGTGCGATCTTGGCTCACCACAACCTCCGCTTCCCGGGTTCAAGCGATTCTCCTGCCTCACCCTCCCAAGTAGCTGGGATTACAGGCATGCACCACCACGCCCTGCTAATTTTTTGTATTTTTAGTAGAGTCGGGGTTTCTCCATGTTGGTCAGGCTGGTCTCCAACTCCTGACCTCAGGTGATCCACCTGCCTCAGCCTCCCAAAGTGCTGGGATTACAAGCGTGAGCCACCATGCCCAGCAGAATGAGGTATTTGAGGATTTGGGTGCAGGGCCAGCCCACCACAGCTGTCAGAGAGGTACATTATGTCCTTTCCCCCCGCCATTCTCCATCCCAGTGAGGCAAGTGAGGAACCCAGGGTGCAGAGTTCAAGGAGGCCCTTAATCTTGAGCTCACTTGTCCCACCCTAGTCTCAGCCCTGCTCTATCCCACCCATTCCTGAGGAGCAGAAGCAAGAGGCTCAGCTGGAAAGGAAAATTGTAAGACTGGTCTTGGCTCTGATTCCTTGATGAGTGGCCCCACCCTTTATCCTGATGCTTCTCCAGAGTGTTTTACCTTTAGGAGAGGATGGGAGACTGAGGTAGAAGCAGCCCTTCTGGGCCGCTGACCTAACAGGCAGCAGCAGACAGGTGGGATTTTCTTTTCTCCAGCATAGAAATAATGTACGGGTTTGGTGTCTCTCTTTCTACCAGGAGAAGAGAAATTTGAGAACCTGGAAGAAGGTATTCCGTCTGTGTCCTCTGAGAACACCCACCCTCAGGTGCTGCTTCCTGACCAGGCCAGAGGAGAGGTGCCCTGGAGTCCTGAGCTGGGAAGACCTCGTGACCGGCAGCAAGGGGATTGGGCGCCTCCCCCAGAGGGTGGAATGGAGCAGGCCTTGGCAGGAGCCTCAAGTGGCAGAGAACTGGGGCGACCGAGGGAACTGCAGCCGAAGAAACTCCATTTATGTCCCTTGTGTGGCAAAAATTTCTCTAACAACTCAAACCTAATTAGGCACCAGAGAATACATGCAGCTGAAAGACTGTGTATGGGTGTGGACTGCAGTGAAATCTTTGGTGGGAACCCACGTTTCCTGTCACTACACAGAGCACACCTGGGAGAGGAGGCCCACAAGTGCCTTGAATGTGGGAAATGCTTCAGTCAGAACACCCATCTGACTCGCCACCAGCGCACCCACACGGGCGAGAAGCCCTATCAGTGCAACATTTGCGGAAAATGTTTCTCCTGCAACTCCAACCTCCACAGGCACCAGAGAACACACACAGGGGAGAAGCCCTACAAGTGCCCTGAGTGTGGGGAGATCTTTGCTCACAGTTCCAACCTCCTTCGGCACCAGAGAATTCACACCGGAGAGCGACCTTATAAGTGTCCCGATTGTGGGAAAAGTTTCTCTCGGAGTTCACACCTTGTCATTCACGAAAGAACTCATGAGAGAGAGAGACTTTACCCCTTCTCTGAGTGTGGGGAAGCCATGAGTGATAGCACCCCCTTTCTTACAAACCATGGAGCCCACAAGGCGGAGAAGAAGCTCTTTGAATGTTTGACTTGTGGGAAAAGCTTCCGGCAGGGCATGCACCTCACCAGACATCAGAGAACACACACAGGAGAGAAACCGTATAAATGTACCCTTTGTGGGGAAAACTTCTCTCATAGATCCAACTTAATCAGGCACCAGAGAATCCACACAGGAGAAAAACCCTATACCTGTCATGAGTGTGGAGACAGTTTTTCACACAGCTCCAATCGGATTCGCCACCTGAGAACGCATACAGGAGAGAGACCCTATAAATGTTCTGAATGTGGAGAAAGCTTCTCTCGGAGTTCCCGTCTTATGAGTCATCAGAGAACTCACACGGGTTAGTAACAGTGGGGTTTTTCTTTGCCCCAGGTGAGGTGGCATATTCAGAGGAGCCTGTTGGCAAGAGCTAGTATTCCCTGCCCAGCCAACCAAATGACCTCTGCATTCTTCAGATAATTGGGGCTCATTGAGAGGGAAGTGCAGAGGCAGCAGAGGATTGGCATAAAACTGAAAAGGAGTTCCGTCTGCATGAGAAAGGATAGCAAGTCTCTGAGGTGACCTCAGGGTGGAATTCTCTGTTAAGTCCACCCTGCCCCAGGGTGTTCCTACCCTCTTGGTCTTTTTAGCCAAGGTGTGATTTGGGCACCTGACTGTCCAGTTTACCTTAACTTTGGGAATCCATGTGATGATTTTGATACTTCTTCCTCATTTGGGACATTCAGCAGGAGCATTTGGGCTTCTGGGGCCCCTGAGACCAAAGAAGAGGGGCCAAGTGCCCAGGGAAATCAGCTGAAGGTCAACAAAAGACTGGTTGTGAGTTGCAGCTGTCCTGAAGGCCCCAGTTGGGAAGCCATGGGCAGTCCAGATCAAGCCACCAAGTGCCCTATGACGGCCTAACAGGAGTGCCCATTGGCAGATCACATATGTAAATGTGACCTCAGACAAAAAGGAACCAGAGGACTATGGGCAATAATAAGGTGGAATTTGCAGGTCAGCCCAGGAATTGGCAGAGGAAGTGGGTGTCTGATAACCCTTTGTGGAGAATGCGATTCCCCACCTGTGTGAGAAAAATAAACAGCTCTGGAGTCTTGTTCCTGGCTCCAGAGGAACAAGAGTGTTCTAGAAAAGAGATTCCCTGGAAAATTGAAAATGTGGATCCTGGGGGGAAATTAGGGATTGTGTCTTTCCCTGTTGAAAATGTTTGGATAGGAATAAATATCTTCAGGAAACATACATGTGTGTGAGTCTTCATTGAAAGTCGCTGTCTAGAACCCCGAGTGTTGATCTGTCTCCCCTCTGCCTTGGTCAGAGGCCCTGCTTTCTCATAGACTTACTGGGTTGGTCAGGAAGATTCTGACAAGGCAGCAGACAGGGAGAGGCAGGTGAGGGCCTGGTAGCCTTCAGGCTGGGACTGCCATGTGGTAACAAAGGATCAAGCCAAATGGCTGCTGGGGTGATGCTGTCATAGGGTCTCTAGAAAGCATTCATTCCCGCCGGGCGCGGTGGCTCAAGCCTGTAATCCCAGCACTTTGGGAGGCCGAGACGGGCGGATCACGAGGTCAGGAGATCGAAGACCATCCTGGCTAACACGGTGAAACCCCGTCTCTACTAAAAAATACAAAAAAAAAACTAGCCGGGCGAGGTGGCGGGCGCCTGTAGTCCGGGCTACTCGGGAGGCTGAGGCAGGAGAATGGCGGGAACCCGGGAGGCGGAGCTTGCAGGGAGCTGAGATCCGGCCACAGCACTCCAGCCTGGGTGACAGAGCGAGACTCCGTCTCAAAAAAAAAAATAAATAAAAATAAAAAAAATAATAATAATAAAAAAAGAAAGCATTCATTCCTTCTGCAGTCTATAGCAGTAAAAATGTTTCCAATTCTTTGTTTAGAATGTTTCCGTTCTTGTTCAATAGCTGAGGAAGATCTGACTCTTGGAGGACAGGATATTTTGGTCTTGCAACTGGTTTCCAGGGTAGAAGCTAAGATGGTCCCAGTATAATTGAGTTATTGATTATTAATGGTGGGAAGATACAGGGGATGGCACAATTATTAAGGGAAAACAGAATATTTATTTTTTGGTAGAGACGGGGTCTCACTGTTTGCCCAGGCTGGTCTTGAGTTCCTGAGTTCAAGCGCTCTTCCCATCTTGGCCTCTCAAAGTGCTGGGATTACTAGCATTACATTTTAGAATGGCATATCAGAAATAGCAATTCTAGTAGTGTGTATCTGTGGAAAACGGGGGAGTATTCTAAGAGCAGGAAATCAGATGCCAGGAAAACACCTCAGGATATGGTCCTGGAGGAAGGTATCCAGCTGTTCTTTGGGTGAAAAAGATGAAGAAACAGTCCTTTGGCAATAGGTTGATGGATATAGCAACTTGAAGTCATGGAAACAGTGCTCCGTTGGTCCTCCTCTCAGCCCTGCCTTAGTTTAGTATGAGTTTTTCTTTGGTTGTCTGAGCCAGTTTTTAAATATCTCACTATTTCTCATTTCTGTAACTTCCTCTTAATCAGCTTGTTCACAGAGGAGGGCAGTGGTGGTGTGGGGGTTGAGGGCAGGGAAGTGGAGGCTTAGGATTAGAGAGATCAGTGTAGGATCAACAGTGGTGGGAGCAGGAACACACTCCAGTGGAGCAGTGCAGGGTCAGCCAGGCTGCTGATGCCATGAACTGGGTGGAATGTAAAGCTGGTGTTCCTACAAAGCACTCTGGTTAAGATGGCAGTTTATGTGGACAGACTGGAAAGCGCCCCTTCCATCTACTCTCCCTCGGTAACATCACCCACACAGATCTTATGATGTGGTCCAACTGATGCTGCTCATACTTGGAACACTGCAGCTTGAAGCTAGAAAATGACTCTCAGGTATTTGCCCTAAAAAGGCGTTCCAGTGGAACCCTTCACTCAATCTTCAGTCTAGTTCCCCTTCCAGCAAACTTCACATGCGTAGCTGTTCTTGGCTTGTTTTAATGAGATGACATCACAGAAAATAACTACATAAAGCAGCACCATGCCTGGCATGTAAGGAAGTATTTGTGCCAACCGTCGACAGATGATCCAAAAGATTTCCTTCTAAGCACCTAACACTGACTGAGGTCACTAAGACCACACTGGCAGCAATTTCAGGGACTGATGACATCTCCTTCCCTTGTACTCATCTTTCAGAGAGCAGGTCTGATTCCCTTACTGCAGGCCCCCATGAAGTCTGATACCGTTTGACTCTGTGTCCCCACCCAAATCTCATCTCTAATTGTCATCCCCACGTGTCAAGGAAGGGACCTGGTGGGAAGTCCTTGGATCATGGGGACGGTTTTCCCCCATGCTATTCTCGTGATACTGAATTCTCCCGAGAGCTGATGATTTTAAAAGTGTGGCAGTTCCCCCTTCACTTGCATGCTTGCTTCCCCTTTGCCTTCCACCATGATTGTAAGTTTCTTAAGGCCTCCCCAGCCACACAGAACTGAGTCAATTAAACCTCTTGTTTATAAATTACGCAGTCTCTGTATCTTCATAGCAGTGTGAGAACTAGGTCACTGCAAGAGATGTCCAAGTTAGTGCTTTTTCATACATACTTTTTTACATTAATACTTTACCCACTAGGGGTCTTGTAAAAGAAGCCAAAACCGAGTTTGAGTGGCACTTATGTCAAAGGGAGACTAGCCCTGGGACAATAAGGACCTCTAGCCCCTAAGTCCAAATGGGTACAAAGGGGTCTTGGGAGATGTGGAGTGACCCTAAGCAGCAGCCACACATCCTTAGCAAAGGTAGCACATGAAACCAGCAGGAAGGCTGGTGGGTGAGAAGCAGTGCCATATCTAAGCAGTGTGAAAAGGCCTGGCAGGGTCAGGTTGGGGAGCAATACTGACAAAGCCAGAGGTGGGACACAGACTGGAAGCAAGTGTTTTAAAAGCACTGAATTTTTCAGAAAAACCCATCAGAAGTCACTTTAAAAGTTTTGATTGCTGTAATGAAAGAACTTTTGGGTCTCGGCACCGTAATCTGAAATTTGAGGGCTTAGACTCCACTTTTTGTTTTGTTTGAGATGGAGTCTCGCTCTGTCTCCCAGGCTGGGGTGCAGTGGCGCACTCTCTGCTCACCTCAAGCTTCGCCTCCCGGGTTCACGCCATTCTCCTGCCTCAGCCTCCCGAGTAGCTGGGACTACAGGCGCCCGGCACCACGCCCGGCTAAGTTTTTGTATTTTTAGTAGACACGGGGTTTCACCATGTTAGCCAGGATGGTCCTGATCTCCTGCCCTCGTGATCCACCCACCTCAGCCTCCCAAAGTGCTGGGATTACAGGCGTGAGCCTCCGCGACCTCCCGGCCTAGACTCAGCACTTTTTAAAGAAGGGTTTACTGTAGATTCATTACATTAACTGATACAATTTAGGAATGTGCAAAGTCAGCACTGCTTTAAAACTTGTAATTTTTGTAAATGTTTCACATGCATTTGAAACAACTAAGTATTGTAAAGTGTCTTAATGTGTGTTACAGGAAAACCAATTAGCAAATTTCTTAGCACTAGGAGACTTAATTTTGGGGGTCAGGAACTCAGGAATAGCTAGATGAATTCAAGCAAAATGTATTTATTTATTTGAAGTATTTTCTTTTACTCTTCAGTCTAGCTTGTGAGCATTCCCAATTAAAAATTGACTTCTGTTCTTGAAAGGACAATTAATACTTCCTTCCCATCATACACTTTTTAATAAGAGCAGCTAAACCTTGCCTGAGTGGTGCAGTGAAGAGGCACTGGGATGATCTAGGTTAAGTTCAACAACGACAAAATGGTTGAGGAAAAACGACTCAGATCACAAAAAAATTCTGATCTTCCAGTTAATGTTACTGTTTTCAATTAGCTACAGAGACACCTTAAATGTCTCAAAAGATTCCGTCAGAAATCTGGTGGCTCTCAAGCATCCCCAACCTGCTCCAAGGAGAGTAGTATTTCTCCAGGCAGTGAGAACGGGAAAGAAAAACATTAAGGAGTATCGTTCTGAAGTCCAGGCTATGCTTTTGGACATCATGAGGAATTGCTTGCCCTCCATTACGTCCAGGGGGGCCAGTTCCCTACTCCTGAGGTGCTGCTGCCCTTGAGGGAGTTCTCGGCTCTGCTGGGCTTCCCGGGAGGAGTCCAGCCCCAGCACACGGCACAAGGGTGAGTGCCTGGGCTTCTCGGAGAAGTTCCAGTCCCCAGGAGTGATTTGCAGAACCAGAGACTCCTTTTTCAGGCTTGGGCAAAGCAGACGACTCCTGCTCCGCATCGGCTCACACGCGGCCGGGCCCACGAGCCTCCTCCAACCGCCGCCCCGGCCCTCAGGGCTGCCGCTCCCCTTAGCTTCGGCTGTGCCCCTAGAGGCGAAGGCCGCCCTGCGCCCGGTCCCAGCCTTTCCCTCCCCTCTGGCCGGTCCTCCTTCCGCGGCCGTCCCGGGACCTGTGCCCAAACCCCTGGGGCCACGATCACGCCCCTCCCCTTCCTTCCCGCGTTCCCGCCCGGGTGGTGTACGGTGGTTCCGGGCCGCACGCACAGCCGCAGGGGTTTCCTCTCCTAGACTCGAGGCGGTGGCGCACCTGCAACCTCTAAACTCCCCTGTCGGCCCTCGCGGTCTAGCGGGAGGCGCGGAGGGCCGAGCAAGGCGATGGGAGAGCCGAGCCGGGGTGCGTGCGAGCGGGCGCCGGGAAAGCGCGGGGCCGCCCTAGGGGCTGGGCCTTTCTTTAAACAGTGGGAGGCCCACGAAGCGTCTGAAGCCCGAGGCTCCTCTTTTTGTTTGAGTTCGCTCTCTTCTGGTACAGGGTCGGGAAAGAATGGAGAGGGGGCAGAAAAGGAAGGCAGGGCAACTGAAGAGGGAGAGTCGAGGCAGAGGGTCAAGGGGGCCTGGACCAGGGCAGGGCAGTGAGGAGGAAGAGTAGAGACGAGAGATCCAGGAAGTGTAGCGGTCAAGACTACGTGGGCCGAGACCCGTCTAAAATCGTAGGATGTCCCCCAAAGACCCTGGCCTTGACCTGTCTTTCCTGCTCTTCTCCGCCAGAGGCCCCCAAGGCAACGGTCCAGGGACCTTTCAGCTTGCCTGGGACATCGCAGACTGAGCCCCTGCGTCACAAATTTAAAGCCCATCTCAAAAGTCACGCACTGTCCTCTCAGACACCTCCCCTGCTATCCAAGTCTCAAAGGCGCTTCCTATGTTCACTTTGGCTCCCGCCCTTACACATCCCATGGTGGTTTGTTCTCATTCATTTTCTTGGTTA